ATGAACGTCCTGCTTTTGCGAAATCTATTATTTTCTGGTCACTCGTCGGTCAATCACCCGATACTTTAGGAGGCGGACCAATGCGGTGCAAAGACGATGAAATATAATTAGAGCTTTGTATACACTGTGTACCGATCGTTGTCATCTTTTTGTCACTTTGAGGATTTTGCCTTTTTGCATTTACATTTTGCATTTAGTTCTCCAAAGAATCCTTAGGCAAGCAACGGCTGCGACAAAGTTTTCTAAACTTTGAACCTCAATGTTCGGTGAATTGGACTCCTTTTACACCTGAAGGAGTTACCTGACTCCTTTTACGCCTGAAGGAGTTACTTGACAAATAACTCTTTGCAGGAAGAGCCACAATGGCGACAGGGCTTGAGTAGAGATGTCGTAACGTGTCAAAATTTATAAAGATTCCTTCACAAGAAAGTAAAATGTCGCAATAAAGTTGAAACCCTGAACATTTGAATACAAATGAGTACTATTATTCAAAGTATATAATTTGACGACTTCCAAAATGTTAGTTTTGAAAAAAAATTTGACTTCTCATTTTTGACTTTGTCTTTCATCCATTTTACTTCAAGAAACATTTTTTTGCAGTCTAAAGGTATCCCAGAGAATCAACCACTGTTCCCACTGTTCGGTTTAATATCGTTCTACTTCCAATCGTTTTATGCCGTATTGAACAGATCGAATGACAGTTTGATTGGTACTTCTCGCCATTACTAATGGAATTACGGTTAATGTGGTACCTCTAGCCATTGCTATGGATTCGATTCGAAATCTTGTCTGTCTTTAGCGCTGCCCTAGTTCGTATTTTATTACATATGAAATTCTAATTCAAAAACGTTATAAAAAACTTTTTCTAAGTAAGTAGCTTATACATACCTTCTATAACTGTAAGGTTTTGCACCAAAGTGATATAGTGGAGCTAATGATTCATCCATTAAATCTCCAGAATTACCAACATGAAGAGCTTTTGCGCAAGATTTTTCTTTTTTTCCAGTGGCTAAGTAAAGCTACGATATTTTAAAATTCGTTGAATGAATTTACAAATTACACGCGTTGTTTTGCAGAAGTTTTATTGTAAGTTTTTTTGCCATTTAGGAACTCGAGCTTATATCCAATTGCTCTGAACCTACATGAAATTTGTTTATCATTGTGATCCTCCAGTAGTTGCGAGACACAAATTCAGTTTTGTGTCAAGTCTGATTTCAATATCGTTAGAGTCAAAGAGCTGACTTTGAAATACGAAGTTATCTACAACCAAACTGCGTATTTTGAGACATCTTACATTCTTTAAGAAGAATAACTTAAATGTGTTTCTAAACTGAAAGGAGAATTCATCAAACGGAATCTTAAGGTAGCAGAACAGTCCGAGCCAAGCGCTCCGAAATGGAAGCCCAACTTTGAACTAATCAACTTAGAGGCTTCAAACGCCTTGTTATATCGTCTCTATATTCAAGGAGATTATGTTGGCTGCAAGTCTTTAATCGGGGTAAGGAACTTTTCTACACATTTAATTTTTGGTGCAAGCCCGAATTTCAACAGGAAATGCTAGAACAATGCTCAAATCAAAGCGAGTACGCTTTCTACATGAGAGGAGTGATTGCTCGTGCTGAGGGTGAGCTTGAAGAAGCTCTGACTTGGTTCAACAAAGCGTTAGCTATATCTCCTTCTTCGACAACGTTGGTTCCTCTCGTTTCTCGTCTGCCCTCAGTAAAGTCCAAT